CAGAAGTGAGGCACTGGAAAGGTGAGACACAGTGATGAGAGACAGGATGCAGAGGGGCTGAGGGGAATGCATACTTACACACAAGAAGAGAAGGCCTGCGCAAGATGATGGGCAAGAGGCAAAACCTACAGGACCCATGTGCAGAGAGACTTTTAGGATAGGAAAACTCCAAACCAGAAAAATCTAACATGGGACTAGAAGAGTCCCTCTGGTCTTAGATCTAGAAATCACAACAGGTGAGTATTAAAGATTCCCTTAGGGAAGTCCATTCAGAAATAAATAATGCCTGCATTCCTGGAGCAAGCTCTAAAGAGCAGGCTAATCACTGTCCCAAGATGGTGGAAGCATGCAATCTGCACTAGGTGTTACAGCCCACATAGGGTGCTCATCTTTACACCAGCGCCTTCATTCGTCACATGTTTAATGGCATGTGAGCTTTTAGAAAACAGCTTAAAATAGGAGCTTTTAGAACAGAGGGTCTGTGGTCTTTTAAGACGGTGTAAAAGACTCTCCTTAACACAACCGCCATTTTCCTTTGAGCAGTTAGTTCACTGACGGCACACTTGCTGTAGAAATAAATCCATTTCTGCCGCTGTCTGCTGCCAAAGTATCTGCAAAGGCCCTTCGTGGACAGCTGAAATCGATATGGTAATTTGATAGTCATCTTTGTTTATTTCCTGCTCTAATTATTATTTTAACGGGCTTCTTATTTTAATAGATTTTTTTAATAAGGAAATCTTACTTACAAATTTTAATTAGCTTACTGAATATTCACTGCTTTGGAATAAGTAGTTTAATGAGTAAGGAGACCTCAGACTACTAACTAGCCTAGCGTCTCAACAGCAGCTCAGGGAAAGAAGACAGCCCTAGCAATACAGCCCAGGCTGTGCCATACAAGCCAGGCAAGCCTGGGCTCCAGGGAAGCATGAACTACACTGCCTCTTACAGGAAAAAAGCAAAAATTCACACTCCTTTTATCAAGCATCTCTACCCCAGTTCTACCACTCACACAGGCCTGAAATAGTCCCTGCCAAAGCATTCCCTGAGTCCCAGGTTCCTCATCTATAAGGGATTGATCATGTTTTTCACACTGGACTGTTATACAAACAGGTCCTGTGCACCAGTTTCAAGTCTTTGGAGTATGTTAACTGCATGAATGAAGAAATGTATCTTAATGTCTCATTTCAGGTTCCCCTCTGTTTAAAAAAAAAAAAATCAATCCTTTCTTTACAGTACTTTTCAATACAGTAGCAATAAAGAATAAGCTAACATTTTTCATTCTAAAATCACCTAACAGAGAAGGTAAGGCAAGAGTCATTCAAATTCAAAATTGGAATCAGGAGAACAATGGAGTTTTATGGCTTATTAACTTGAATAATCAATGCAAGTAGCTCTACTTCAAAAGTAAGAGCATATTAATATCTGCTCCATTAATTAAGACTATGTGAAGATTTAAGTATGATTGTCAGTGCATATGAAGTCTGAAATCAATGCTTTTGTGAATGCTCAGGTTGCTGTGTAAGAGGGGAACTCCAGTGTCGCAGGCATACTGAGTCTTAAGACATGAGACTTCAGATTCTGGTCCAGCTGTAATTCTATACTAAGCGACTTGTATCTATAGCATGTTCTCACAAATTAATGTAAGACTAATATAAACTATTAAGTTTTCACTTACCTATTTATATATACTGTGAGCTTCAAGAACTATAGTATAGATGAACTAAGAATGTTCAAGATGAAATTCTTGGTCTTTTCCCAAAAACCTATTCCTCCTCCATCTTTCCCTATTGCTCTTAATTACAACTCCATCCTCCCAGTGTTCAGGACAAAACTGTCAGTCACCCCTGGCTCCCTCATCTCTTAGTGTCACTACACTCTTTCAGCTATGCTCTCCCAAAACATCCAGAACCCAATCCCAGCTCCTCACCTCCACCACAGACACTCTAGTCCAAGCCACTATCATCCTCTGCCTGGATGTCTGCTTCCCCTTTCCTCCCATGGTCTACTGTCAATATACCTGCTGTATAGATCCTATTATAACTCAGGAGCACAATATCATCCCATGGCCCAGAAGGCCCAGGCACCATCAGACACCATAGCCTCTTGAGTACCTGCTCCCACTTGGCCCTGGTTCAAGCTACTTGCACCTCAGTGTTTCTGTGCATGTTGTTCCCTCTGCCTGACATGTCCCTCATCAACTGGGTACAGCTTGTTTATCCATCTCTTCCCACCTTTACAGAGACTTGCTCAGAAGGTAGCTTCCTTCACCCCTACCAAGCATTTCACCTCCTAATCCTGTGGTCTCTTTCTCTATCATTTTCCAACTCTATCTCCTTTATTTTACCTATCTATACCTTCCCACAGAAGCCTATGTAACCTCGAGGGCAGGCTTTTATCATTGTGATATAAAGAATATACAGACAAAACAAGGCACAAATTATAAGGCTAGAGCTCAATGGACATTCAAAACGTGAAACACCCATGAAGCCAAGACTTGGCTCAAGAAACATCCTTCCCCAAACACTCTCTGCCCCCAAAGGTGACCCTGACTTCCAAGCCCTATGGGTAACTTTACCAATTTCTGAACCTACCACAAATGGAACCATGATTTTTTTTTAGCATTGTGCAGACACACAGAGCTGTAGTTCATTCTCACTGATGAATAATATTCCAAATATACATAATAAACCACACTGATTTACCTGTCTCTGGTCTTGGTTATCAGAAATACTACTACTGTCATGGATATTCCAATGCATTTCCTCTGGCAAATGCACTGCACATTTTTATTAGGTAGGACAAGAACTCCGCCTGTTAAACTCACTGATGTGCCGTCTATCTCCAGCACAGTGGCTACATGTTGCAGGGATCACGGTGGGTATTTGTTAAAACACAAAAACCAAGTGCTTGCTGAACAAGCAAATGGAATAATCTTTTAAAAACAATTCTGCTACTGAGAGTTAGTAACTGACATTGGACTTTCTTGACTTATATATGCGTATTTATAATGCATAATTAAACCAATCAATGTAAACTCACCATTCAGATTGAGAAATACATTATTAAAACTGAACTTCTTTGAATATTCCTTCCTAATCCCATCCTGCTGCATTCTTTTCCATTATTCTTTTCTTTTTGTAATATTTAACCATATGTGTCTCCAACTATCACTTTGTAGAAGACTGAAAAACACTACAGACATTCTGTAATTGGTATTTCACTTGACATTATCTTTCTGGAGTCACTAGAATTGATGCGTGTGGCTGGAGGTCATTCTTCTTTCACTGCTGTATAGTGCTCCATTGTGGGATTCCACAATGTTATTTATCCCTTTTTCTAGTCAGATTAATGACTGCTTGTTTCAAGTTTTTGGCCATTTCAAGCAGTGTTACTAAGAATGCTATCCCAATGCCTTAACACATCTTTTTAGAGAAGAGGTTTTCTGGAGCAGTTTCACCTAGATACAAAACTGTGGGTTGACTGGTAGGGGCATATAAGACAGTATCAAAATGTTCTAAAATGGGTATAATAATCTGTCTTCCAACCAGAACCATCCCATGGCGGGGGTCCCAGGCTGAATGAAAAGGAGAAAGGATTGGGATCAACGTTTATTTCTCTCTGCTCTCTGACTGTGAGCACAACACTGCCAGCTGCCTTGTATTCACGCCATGGTGCCTTCCCTGCTGTGAAGAACTGTATGCTCAAACTGTGACCCACACAAGCTGTTCCCCCCCCTAAGATGTTTCTTGCCAGGTATTTGGTCACAGCAATAAGAAAAGGAACTCATTCGTGCATGCTCTGAAAACTCAACTGAAATTAGCATTCTGGATCCCTATTCCTGTGTCGCAGCATTAAACTCAGTGCTCTGAGTGCAGTTAGTACTACACAACAAGAGAGCAACATTTTCTAAAATATATTATCTTCTTTTTTAGTATTTTCTTTATTATTTTAATTTTATGTGTATGAGTGTATTGCCTGCATGTGTGTGAGTGCACCCACGTCATGCAATGGCGCGGAGGTCAGAAGAGGGCTTCGGATTCCCCTGGAACTGGAGTTAAGGACTGTTTGTAGCTGCCACATGGGTGCTAGGAATCTACCAGGTCCTCTGCAAGAGCAGTCAGTGCTCTTAACCACTGAGCCATCTCTCTAGCCCCCTAAAATATATTATCCTTGTAACCTAGTCATCTAAATCAATTGCATCCCATCTGAAACTTGGCAAAATCCATGGTGAAAGGAGAGAAGGAGCTCTGAAACTGTCCTCTGACCTCCGCATGGGCATATGCAAATCATTTCTGTTACTTATAATATTTAATAAGAAGCAAATGTTAGTAAATATCTAATATGTAATACTTACCAAATAATAATAAGAAAAAAAGTCTAGGCATGTTGAAACAGATGCAATTTTTTCAGTGGATATAGGGCTTATTATATATTTTTTAAAAGTGCAGTTATTTGTATATTTATTGAAGTATCTCTAATCCTTAATAAAGAACCCAGTCTATTTAACGAAAACTGAATGTGGAAAGATGTCAGCAGACCTCAGAGCTACAAACAATTACAAATGGACATTAAAAGAATAAACAACTCTGAGTAACAAGGAAGGAAGGAAGGAAAGAAATCCACAGATTCAAGCATTATAATATGGCTACCTACATGTGGCTCTGTGATTAACTTCCTCAAAGCTTTCACCAAAAAGTTTATTAAAGTTCCTTTCAGCAACAAGTAAACTGGCTTCTCACTGAAGCAGCTCAGGTCAGTCATCTAAGTCAGCAAAAACAAGCCCATATGCCATGTACTAGAAGGTTATTTCCATGTCAACTGTGTCTCCCCACAGCATGCTTACCTGTCTATAGAAGAGTTACTCTGGGGGCTGGGAGGTGGACAGAATCCCAACACCCTACCAGTTAGGGTTTTGTTTTGTCTTATTTTGTTTTTAAAGCTTCCTAAGCTTTAAACTCTTGCGTTCTTTAATGACTCCCTGCAGAGGCAGAGGTGCTCACCTGTGACACAGTGATGCTGCACTTCTTGGCCAGCTCCTCTTTGGCTTCTTCACTGGGGTAGGGGTTGCTGAGGTGTGAGTAAAAGTATTCATTCAAGATTTCTGTGGCCTGTTTACTGAAGTTACGCCTTTTCCGTCTATGACAAAAGCAGGGGAGAAAGGGGAAGAGGAGAAGGAAGGGGTAGAGGGGGAGCAGAAGGGGAAGAGGATGGTGAGGAAGAGAAGGAGAGGGAGGAAGAGGAGAAAAAAAGAATCACAATTACAATAAGGATTAACCAAAGAGATAATTAGGACCCCAAAAAATAGACTTCTAATTTGAATAGACTTCTATTTGAATAGAATAATAGACTTCTAAAGAATCCCAGCGGCTAATTTATCACCTTGATGGCACATCTTATCCTCTAGGCAGCCTCTGACAGTGTCCAGCCCATGTTTAGATTCAGCATCACTAAGAAAAATACTAGAACGAGAAACAGTGGATTTCTCTCTTTATTCAACAAAAGTTTACTGAAGACTTAATATGTTCTAGGCATTAAATGATGAGACACAGGGACCGAAACAGACAAGTTCTAGAACTTACTGGAGGGCTAGGGGAGGAGAGCAGACAAAGCATTAGACAAGAACCACAGAAATAAGTAGTGACATATCATAACGACCACAGAGTATCATGGAGGAAAAGTGTGATGCACAATGACAGAGTGTAAAGGGAACAACATGGGACAGGCTATAGACCCAGAACGGCATTCACTGAGGAGCAACATTTGATCTGAGACCTGAAACCTGGAAAGGAATTGGAGCAGAGGAAAGCAGGACTGGGCAGAGGAAATGGCATTCAGACACAAAAGAACTTGGCATGTCTAAAGGCCTAGGAGACTGGAGCTCCACAAAAGGCCAGGAATGTTGGAAATGGGTCTGGAAAGCTGGGAAGGGCCAGAGGCTTGGTAGACCTCATAAGCCTTTTCAGATTTTAGTCCCAAGTGCAACAGGAAGCTATGAAGTTTCCATATTAATTTTTTTACATTTTTAAATTTAGCATGGGGGGTGCATATGTCATAGTGCACACACGGAGGTCAGAGGACAACTTGTGGGAGTCAGCTTTCTCTTTTCACCATGTGGGTTCCAGGGACTGAACTAAGGTTGTTGGGCTTGGTGGCAAGAGCCATGATCTGCTGAGCAGTGGAAGGAGGGCACAAAGGAGAGACACAGCTGCAGTGGTCTAACTGAAGGTAACAGTAAGCTAGCACAGGCTGAGCCCCCGAAATAAGATTCAAGGCCAATGTGGACAGCAGATGCAGCAGATGCTGATGATGCAGGCAGAGGGTCAGGAGAGGGAGCGGGAAGGGAAGGGAAGCATATATGCCCACAAGGAGTTATGAGTTTTTCTGCTTAAACAGCTACCTGAACTTGGGTATAATTTCCTCACAAGAGAAAAAGCAGGAGGAAAATATGTTGTTGCAGGAAATGGGGTGGCAAAAATCAGAAGATCAAATATTTATTAACAACATATTTCAAGTAGCAAAAATATTAGTTCTATTTTGTGGTTATGATTTCTGTTTTGAAGAATTCCTTCTGGAATATCAGCATCTGTCAAATTTCACTTTAGATTAGATGCGCTGTGACTAGAAAACACCTTCCCTGGAGAATTCTCTCACATCACTTTCTTCCAAACATTTCTAATGACTTTGTCAGTTGTGACATCCTACACTCAGAAAAGGTGGTTGTGAAGGTGTCTGAATCTTCTAGTTACCATGATGTCACTAACAAAGCGGGTCAAATATGTAAACCCCATTTCAACATTCAGAGAGTCAAGGGAGCACCCACAAACTTTAAGTTTGGTCAAAACATCTCAGGTTTCAGTCCAGAAGTTTCTTAAATTTAATAACATTAGTCAGGCATGGTGGCGCACGCCTTTAATAGCAGCATTCAGGAGGCAGAGGCAGGCAGATCTCTGAGTTCAAGGCCAGCCTGGTCTACACAGTGAGTTCCAGGACAGCTGGAGCTACAAGGAGACCCTGTATCAAAAAAAAAAAAAAAATTAATAACATTTTGGAAAGTTCAACTATGTGTGCTAGGGGATGAAGAGGAGATTTGAGAAGTGTATGGGGGATTAAAATCAAGAAGATTTGATGATGAAATGGGCAGAGGAGGTGAAGAAGGAAGACAAGGAAGGAAGGGAAGAAAAACCCACTGAGAAGAGCAATTTATATTCTGCAAGAATGGTGTGTGGCTTGAAAAGAAAGGCACTGAGGTGGGGCATGCTGCAGAGCACACCCTGCTGAGCAGGTGGCGGGGTAGATAAGGTGGGAAAGGTCTAGAATTGATACTCCAGTGTGTCAAACCTGAAGACATTCCCTGTTGAGATTACACAGTAATGACTTGACACAAAAACCTAGCTTTGTAGCTGCATAGGAACACTGGAAGGCCAGCCATGCCAGGCCCCACTGTCAGAAGGTAGTGCTGAGCTACTCTGACCCACCCCATACTTGAATCAGAGCCTTTCACTCAATTCCACTTTATGGAAGTGTGTGAGCTTGTGACTCCCAAGCTATAATACGGAACCTAGACAAAGGCCAGGGTAGATAGGAGTAAATGGCAGATGGGCATTTGTTTGGGGACATGTAAGAGGAAAATGATAAGAAAACAATCTAGGGAAGAAAGAACTTTGATTCACATAGATTTTGCCCAGAGGAAATTTTGGCAAACATCAAAAAATCCTCAGAGAACATTGTCCACGTGGCTCTGAGTTAGGGCACCTCTACCAGAACAGTAGAATAGCAGCTCTACTCAAGTTTATTATCAAGTGTGTTGCACTTCTGCATGCTTCAGGCTTGTCCAGTTATCAAGAAAATATGATCATGGCCTTCCAGAGAGGCAGACTAAGCAAGGGGATCACCTGGATCAGCATGTTGGCCTGGAGCACATCAAGCTCGCCTTCTCAGTATGGAGGTCTCACTCAGAGGCACAAGAAGGGATGGACTGAAGTTCAGAACCTGCAATCACTTGAAGGTATAGCAGAGTATGGTCTTATACTTTATTCTTTAGAAAAACATCCTGTAGGAAATGCCCATTAAGCACGTTCCCTCAGTTTCTCTCCCTCAGAGGTGCCAGACTCTAAATGTCTATGCCTCAAGCCAGTGTGCAGGGCTGCATGTGTCCCATCAGCATCACTGTGTGTGCGTGCGTGCGTGCGTGCGTGTGTGTGTGTGTGTGTGTGTGTGTGTGTGTGTGTGTGTGTGTGTTGATAGGGATGAGCCTCTACTCCCAGTTCTGCACACTTTCATCTTGGCTCTGCTCACTTTAGGCTGTAACATACTCTCTCTTCATGGAAGAAAAAGAAATTTATATGAGTACATTATGTGAATGCAGTTATGAAGAAATTAAACCTGCATGCTGACAAGAGGAGGAGGAAGAACAAAGTGTTGGGGTAGGATCCTCTCAGATGTGCTTTTTACTAAATGTTCAAACATTTAGTAAATAGCACCTTCCCAACTCTGATTTCAGCAGTTAGCAGTATTGATGAAAGTGGGATTCACTTGGCCCATCAATCAATCAGTTTTTGTAACTGATGACGTGTGAGGAGCTTGCTGTCATCACTGGGGATGGATGTTGTGAATCTTGGCTTTCTGTAACTCTGTGGCTTACCAAAAGGGAGGGTTCATGAAAGACTGTTAAGAAATGGGAGTCTGAAACATTCCAATTCTGATGCAACAATTCCATTTCTGAGAATTAACCCAGAGGAAATATTTCAAAGGCCAAACAAACCAATGTATAAGCTAGGCCTAGTAGCACATGCCTTTAGCCTCAGCACTCTAGAGGCAGAGACAGGCAGATCTCTGTGAGATAGAAGACAGCCTGGTTTACATGGTGAGTTCCAGGCTAGCCAGGGCTACACAGTGAGATTCTGTCTCAAAAAGGAAAATCGGGGCTGGAGAGATGGCTCAGCGGTTAAGAACACTGGCTGCTCTTGCAGAGGACCTGGGTTCAGTCCCAGCACCCACATGGCAGCTAAAAACTGTCTATAACTCCAGTTCCAGGGGATCCAACACCTTCTGACCACCTCAGGCATTGCACAACACAGGTGCACTTACTTAAATACAGGCAATACATTCATACACATAAAATAAAAATAATTTTTTTAAAAAAGGAAAATCAATGCTTAAGGAGTTTCAGCACTTTCAACAAAAACAGGTATTTATTTATCTAAAAATAGTGCCTCTCTTTACCATCACCCTGTTTTCTTTACAGCACTTATCACCCTATTACATTCATCACCTTAGCAAACAGAATACTATTTAATAGATACCTGTTGACTACCTTATCATCTTTCTTCAAGTAGAATGCAAACTCAACTAGGGTAAGCCCATTAACCTGCCTTGTTTACCATTATGTCCCTCAGCACAAGTAAGTAATTGAAGAAGGAAGAAAGGAAGGGAGGGAAGGAAAAAGGGGAAAGAGGAAGGGAGGGAGGATAAGCTACAATGCAAAAAAGAAAAGAAAAGAAAAGAATTTAAATGCTAAAAAATAAGCTAATGCTAGTAAATTATTATAGATCCATTTTTGGAGGTTTCAATTATTAAAGTGTTATTTAAAATTAGAGCTTATGGGGCTGGAGAGATGACTCAGCAGTTAAGAGCACTGGCTGTTCTTAAGAAGGCCCATCTGTAATTCCAATTCCAGGGGATCCAACACCCTCTTCTGTCTTCCGTGGGCACTGGGCAACACGGGTGCACTTACACACATGCAGGCATAACATTCATACACATAAAATAAGAATAAATATAGCAGATCTCTGTGAGTTCCAGGCCAGCCTGGTCTACATAGTGAGTTCCAGGCCAGCTGGGGCTACAGGGAGACCCTGTCTCAAAAAGACCAAAATAAATAAATAAAACTTTTTATGCCAGACATAGTGGTGCACACCTTTAATCTCTGCACTGGGTGGGCAGATCTCTGTGAGTCTGAGGCCAGCCTGTCTACACAGTGAGTTCTGGGCCAGTTAGGACTATACAGTGAGACTCTATCTCCAAAAACAGAAAAAAAGGAAAAGAAGCCTATGCAAATGAAAAGACGTTGTTTATTTATTCACAATAAATTTTTACGAATCATACTGAACCATCACAAAAGCAGTTTCTTAAAAACTTCCAAACAAATAGGAAAACAGAAGGAAATACTTTAAAACATTTAAAGTTATCTTTGGGGGGGTGCAAAAAAATGATTGCATTTTATCCCCCTCTCTTCCAATCTACGCATTTTATACAATGATCTTGGTACTTTAAAGCTGGAAATAATAACGAAAGTTAAAATAGCTAAGTGTCATGACTGATGCCTGCAACCCCAGCTACTGTGTGGCAGGATGGTCACAAGTTTGAGACAACCTAAGCAACTGAGACTATCTCAAAATAAAAGCTTTTAAAAGGGATTGTGACATAGCTCATGGCAGACAGCTTGCCCATTGTGTGCAAGGTCCCATGTTCAGACCTCAGCACAAAAACAAACAAGCCCTAAAACATCTTTACAAGAATAAGAACAAAAGAAATGACTCAAATAAGGACAGGTCAAAGAGCTTCAGACACCAGGCTGAGGAGTGCTGATGTAAGTCATCTAGTTGTGACAAACCAGCCTTGTCTTATCTGATTTGCTGTTTGCACCTAGAATGAATCCAGGGCCTCACACATGCTAAGCACATGCCCTACAACTGACTGACACCCCCAACCAAGCAGGCATCCAAGGTTTTATGGAAAGCACCAGGGTATAACAGTGGCTTTGCAGGCAAGGGATGTAGAGAACTCGCTGTGAGGAGTGAGCTGGGGTGAGGGCGACTGGGGAGAGTTGAGATACAAAAGGATGAACAGGAAGTACAGACAAGGAAAGAGGAAGGCAAAGTATGAGAAGCATGAGCACAATATGAGAAAGGCTGAAAGACCAGAGTCCTAGAGACCAATTTAGTGGGGCCCCGGATGCAGAGCCTTGCTTAACTAGGAACATGGTCTATAATTATATGATTAGGTAGACAATGTCTCCTACTTGGATCTAAAGAAGTCTGGCATACAGTCATCCACACTCTGTTTTCTATTTGAAACACTGTCTTACTTATTTTCTTTAATATTGTAGAATTTGGAGGAAAATGACGATTTCTGGCAGATTCTGGGAGGAGGGGTAGTAACTTCTTTCCAAACCTGGAGACTGACCACTGGCTTTAGCAATGCCCTAGGGGCATCCTCACAGAGTTAGTCTGTGCTAGTACTTGACAGTTCTGTGTGACAATTCTGTGTCACCACAGAGGATTACCTACCACGCTAACTCCTCACAGAGGAACTAACAGGTTTTTTTACTTGACTAAAAGGGTTCTTTCCGAGAAAGATAAGCATCTCCAAGTATTTTCAGAAAATATACACGAGGCAAAGCAAATGTTAAGAAATTCTTAGAAAACAAACCTTTATTGAAATAGAGTTTCATGTAGAAAATTACCCTTAGAAATTCTTCTGGCATCAGAATGGAAAGGGGAGGGGAACAGGAAGCCCTTACTGGCAGCACTAATCCTATCCATTTCCAGAGTCACTAACTTGGCAGCTACCTGCATTACTACTTCCTGAACAAGAAAAAGCTATCTGACAGCATAGTGCCATGAGGTGGTCACCTGTCTGTTCACAGGTGCCACAGAGCCAAATCAAAGAAGAATCTAAGGCCAACCAGCCAGGCTCACTGAACATAACATACAAGGCAAAGGGAGAAGCAGTGCAATAGGTCTATGGCCTCACATACCTGGCATCAAGGAACCTTGATCTTAAAATCATAACTGCTTCACAAGTGCTTTGTTTGAGTTGCATCTGGATGGAACTAAATTTTCGATGAATGATGCCCACCATTCTTTCAATCTCTTTTGGGGAAATGGGACGTGTTCTACTCTGCTCTCGGAGAAGGTTCATCACATGTGTAGTGAATTCATTACAGGCCTGTAACGGAAAAAAGAATAAATCACTCCTTAGGAAACTGATATACCTTATATTGTCACACCCAGACATTAACCCACATGAATTTCCACCTCATTAACAACTGCCAGCAGCATGCAGTGGGTAGGGTGAAATGAAAACCAAGATACTGTGAAGTGGCAGCGGTGCCATCAGGATGAAAGACTTCTGAACTATGAATGGTCAGACATGCACAGAAAGAACATCAGCTTCCCTTCCCACCCCACCTTGCTCCAGTTCCAAAATTATGTTTCCCACTGGGATGCACTAACTGCTATCTCCCATCAGGTGTATGTTAATTATTAATACTAAATACTCTCTATTTTCTCTAGGGTTTTGTGTTTACTCAGCAAATGTTCATTGCAGGATTATGAAGTTCAAACCCTGCTAAGAACTTGTCAGGGACACAGAAATGAGCAAGAAGCAGACCTGGCCTTCAGTGAAAACACACAGAATATTAATTCTCATACAAAGCAACTGATGCAAAGGCTAACAGGAAGATGCTAGTAAGACTTTGCTGCTTCCAAAGGGGGAGTAGTGTCATCCAGAAGCTTCATGGAAGGGATATTTGGGCTTTAAAGAATGAGTAGGACTTAAGAAAAAGCAGATAAATACAGGCCAGATGAAAGCACAGGCATAACACCCTAGTAGTAACAGTATGTGACAAGTTCAGATAAGGGGTAACAGGAAGAGAGAGAACAAACAGGGAAGAGCAGGTTCTGGATTGGGTTGGTTTGGTGCTGGCAATGGACCCAGGGCCTCATGTGTGCTAAACTTGCAGTCTACTACTGAGTTACACCTCCTGCCCAGGGATTCAGGTCTGGGTAAGCACAGAAGCCTGTACTTCAAGCATTCTACTAACCTCAGATTAGTTATCCACAGCAAATGCCTCAGTGAACAAAAGCCACCCCTGTAAAGCATCTCAGCTCCTCAGGGAGAGGCAGCAGGAAAATAAGAATGAGAATTGGGACTGAAACATTTTACCCAGCAATCCTGAGACACTGTCTCTTTCAGCTCACCTACGTTGTTGTTGATCTATAAAACCACATAACTGGATCTACACTGCAATTCAGTGAGTCCTTGGTCAATAAATATCAGTCTATACTCCTGAATAAAGACAGCATCTGGCATTTTAAGACAGGAGACTCCATGTCTGGTTTCTCAGACCTCCTGGCAGGAAAGACAAATTTTGAAGTTGTGATGGTGTGCACTTTCCTCTACATGGCTCTCATAGAGCAGCAGTTTTCCTTAACTGTTCACTGAAGAGCTAGCCTTTCAAATCTGCTGGGCGTTACACTTACTTTAAGCTTTTACAGAGCTTTTCCTTAAATATTTCCAAGGTGAGGTAAAAGTAAGTCTTGCTCACCATTTGAAGTATTTTTTTAATGTTTTAAATTATAAGAAATTTTAAATTTTTTTGTGAGCAGTAACCCACATTATACTCAGCAGATTCCTCAGAGTAAAGAACTCTGCAAGATACACAGTAGTTTGGTAAGCTTTTGTGCTACAACTCAAGAGTGAGAGTAAAGTTGGTCAATATCCATAAGTTCATTACCCCTGCACCAGAAGCAAAGGTTTCTAAGTGTGTAGTCCTTGGATAGGGTTAGCGAGGATGTTTAATGGTCTGTAACCCCTGAAATCTTATGTAGGTTTTGTGTACTTATGTATCTATCTCTGGAGGAAGACTCTGCAGTATTTTATTTCTTTTCAGATTCAAAGATACTCTCTAAGTTTAAAAAGACCCATAATTACCTATAATTATGTAGGATACGATACAGCAAAATATTAAGGAATTCTGCATATTAAAAATGGTACTTCTATCTTTAAGGAAATTAAACTTTTGGAAAGTAAATTTAAGACTTTTCCCTACTATATTATCAAGTTGGATTTATGCCAAACTGAAAACAAGTGGCCATGTGACCAAGAAACACATGTATTTTCTCTGGTACTTTCTCTAAGGCAATGTTTATAAAATTTTCAAATTGTATAATCTCAGCCTCTAGTTCTCTCATAAGTAAAATGAAAAGATTGAACTACTTCTCCAAACTGGGATTAGCAAATTCTAAACTTCCATAAAATGCAAACAGATGGTCCAAAGACACAATATGCTTGGAAACTGATGAGTTAACTGAAACTGTAAAATACATTTTTACAGGACTCCTCAGTATTTCAATGCTAGCATATGTGCATCCTAAAAAGCTCTCTCCAAGGAGAGCTTTTCTAACTTTACTCAAAATTGGCCACAAAACCTCTCCAGAGTAATGCTGCCTAATAAAAATACACAGAAAGCCACATGGGAAGTTTTTAAATCTCTATGAGCCAGCATTTAAAAAAAAAAAAAAAGAATTAGGTGAAATTAATTTTAATGATATACTTTATTTAACCCAATTTATGAATAACATTTCAACACATAATCAATGCTTTGAAATTGTTATTGAAGTATTGCATATCCTTTTCTCGGTGCTTTAAATCCAGTGTGTATTTTACATTTATAGCACATCTCAATTCAGACTAGGTTAACTTGGCATACTTTACTAGGTACTGTGGCTAGTGGCTCCTGCATGGGACAGCATCGCTCTGAAGCACCCTGTGAACCAATGGGCTTTGGTAATCCTTGAGTTAAACAGATAGATGAATATCGAGGTAGGTAAATACACAGATAGATAGATTTAGACAGACAGATAGGAAACATTACCACCACACAGTCACATAAACACACAGTCTCAGGAATGTTCTTGGTGAACATTACAGATTATTTATCCTATTATACTGCAGCCCTTGAGTTATGTCTGTAATATTCTGCGTGACAAAATGGGAAGCACACAGAAAGCACTTGCATATCAAAGGTGGCTGCCTTGAGAAAACACATCTGTGTGATTAAATTCTGAGCTTGGTCACTTTTCTCCAGAATACTATTTCTACATAGAAAGAAAACTGATAAATTAGGGTTATTTGGAGTTGGGAATTTGGCAAATGTTTTCTCAGAACTGAAACAAGTGAGTCCATTATGTAGAAGAAAAAAGCTACCAGAAATTGTGCCAATGGCAAAATTTTAGTTTTCAAATAGAAATCACAATTTCTGAAAACTTGCATCATACTGTGAGCTTGATAGTTTCCCTGGAGACTTCCTAATTAGCTCAGTGTTGATATTAATAAGTATATTTTCATACTGTATAAATGAAATGCATTAACATGTACATGAAATTCCTAATCCTGTGAACAATACTTCTGCACTGATGAGTGTGTCATCACTAAAGCAGGCACAGGTAGGAGAGATATTCAAAGTGCAAACTAGACTAATGGTCTAAAAGAACAGAGTACACATTCATTAATTATCAGATTATCACCTGGCAACTAACCACTATAACTTGCCAAGTTTGGGTATATTAAAAAAAATCCACAATTATCTGAAAAAAAAAAAAACATCTATCTACTTTTCTAATGACATTCTGTATGAGGCCAGATGTTCCTCACAAACTTCAACTACATGAAAACAGACTGCTTATGAAATGGACCTAAGAATAAAATTGGCTTCTATCACACCCAGGACTAGTGGCAGCAAGAAGGCGAAAGCAATAACATTCTTTTCACTGACTTTTGAAGGCTTTTTGAAATCAAGTTTTTAAAAACTAGGTTAACATGTAATAGCTTAGTATTATTTCTAAATTACCTTTGAGGTTTTTCTACCTTTAATTTCTATTATGATAAATATTTGTCAATATAATCTATCAAGCAAAAGCTTCCAAGGCAAGTGAGGCTGGGGTAGGGGGGCTCCAATAATTTTTTAGAGTCTAGGTTCTACAAATGAAAACTACAGGAATTATTTCACTTAAGTGTGAAAGCACTTCGAGTTTGCACACCTGACTATGCTAATTCCTATTATGGTAACATTTACCTGTAGCAAGACATACATCACTGTAAATAATTCAAGACTATGTGACTGATTCCTGAGATTTAGCTCTCTTAGTTTTTGTCTGGCTGAATTTTATCCTCTTCAGAATGGATGTTTGTCTGTGGTTTCTAAGAAACATCCAAAGGCTCATAAGAGAAAAATGGGTTAAAAGCAAAAAAAAGTTTCTGCATCTAAAAACTCATAATTTCCTAAAACATTTGCTGAATGTCTCACAACTTATTAAGTGAAGCCATCTATGAATGCAAATGCTGATTAGCAATTTGGCAATAGCCCAACATTCACAGAATTCACATAGCTTTTCTTTAAACCAGTAGTTCATACATGATTAATTAGAACATCTCATTTATGTAGTGTGCACTTTAGCTCATTACTCTAAGTAAAATTCGTTAAGTATTTACATTTAGATAATTAAAATCTGGGTACACCCTTAAGAAAGATGCATACACTTTAGGCAAAGTGATTTTTTTTACTTTATACCACTGAAAGTAAATTACAGCCTCATTTACAGCATCATCTGTACCAGTCTCAGAGTACAGCACAGCAGTGCCTCATCTTCTACTCTTTAAAAGAGGTGTATTTCCATAGAAAACATAAAACAGAGTAAGAATGCTCAAATGCCTGCAGAGCTGTTTGAAAGGGCCACCGGAACAGATGCTAGCAACTAATGCCATTCATAATGCAGGATACTGATGTCAAACATCTACATCCTACACTGTACCTAAATGCTCCATCATTAATATAGACATTTAGAGACATTTTTCATTATCTTATTGTTTTTCTGAGCAGAAATGTCAGTTTAAAATGTTCTAGTAAATGCTCATAATATAAATGCAGATTTACCTTGGTTAATTGGAATATTTAGGAAAGGGGGTTTTGATTTCTTGAATTTGAATTTT